CAGCGGGGCGCCCCGCCGGGCGCGGAGCCGGGCGCGGTCGGCGGCAGAGGGAGCGCGGCGGCGGCGGCGGACGGGGCTGGGCAGAGGCTGCCCTCTCGGCTGGGGAAATCCTTTCCGGATCCTGTAAGTTTGTTACGGGCAGGCGGAGGTCCCGCGGGGCAGCGCCCAGGGGGTGCGCGGCCTCCCCCTCCTCCCCCCGGGCCCTTCCCCACCCCCGCGCTGGGGCCCGGGGTCCGGGGCCGCGCAAGGCGGGGTCCCTCTGCTCTGACGACGGCCGTCTTCTCCAGGCCGGGGAACCTGCCGTCCGTTTCCAGTCAATCTTACTTGGTACCACATGATTTATTGTTTCAGCTGCTAGAATGACATGTGGCTCTGCAGGGCAGGGGAGCAACCCTCCCCTTCTCCCCAAAAACCTTCCCCTAAACAAACCCGGGCAAGCCAGTGCTCTCTTCTGGAGGGAGCCCTAAGAAGTTGTGTGCGTGTGTGTGTGTCGGGCTGCCAACCTGAAGGACTTTTCTAGGGAGAGGAAGGGAAGCGGAGAGAGAAGCTCTTTTATTTCACGGCTTGTTTTGATGGTCTCTCCCAGGAGGCTGCGATTTTCTGCTGCCTAGTTAGTGCCCCTTAATCCTGACTCGGGAGTGACTCAGTCGACGCTTGCAGGCGCTGAATTTTTTTTTTTTTTTTTTTTTTTTTTTTTTTTTTTTTGTATCGGGGGAGGCAGTGGTTCAGACGGGGCTGGGGCGTAGCGGTCGAGGTACCGGCGAGAGAAAAATGCAGCACTGCGGTCTCGGAGAGGGGGAAGCGGGGGGGAAGGGAGAGCCAGGAGCAGGTATAGGAGAATCCATCGCCTTGGTCTTGTTAGGCTTTCTATATTTTTAATACAACGATTTAATGGGATTTTTTTGAGTCTTCAAGGGCAAGCGCTGACAAATCTGTACGGATGCTATCTTTAAAAACACATCTATCTTCCTCCTTCCTTCCTTTCTTCTTTCTTTCTTTCTTCCTCTCTTTCTTTAGTCACGATTTCCCGGGATAAATGAATGCGCATTTGATGGGTGTGTAAGATGTGGCCCATCCGGCGCCCTTAACAGAGCTCTGTGGATGCGGTGTGTGCTGTACCGGCCGTGATAACAAACAAGTGGCAAGTGATGTTTTTTTTTGGTTGCTTGGATTGGCTTAAGAAGTCGAGGGGGTATTTAATTAGTGGTCCAAAATACTGCTTGAGCTTCCAAGTTAAACTTCCGGGGACCCCTCCCACGCTTTATTTTGCATAAACACCGAGGCTGGATGAGGGAAACGTGAAATACCAACAAATTTTAAATTACTTTAAAAAAAAAGTGAGAAAAGGAATGCAGCTCTCCTCCGCGGTGAGGTGACGGCTTGGGAAGCAGAAAACTTTCCCGAGGAGGTGAGAAAGCCGCAGCTGCCTCCTGGCTGGGCTGGGCTGCTTTCCCCCATCCCTCTGGATCTGCTGGCAGCTCCCGCCAGTCGAAAGTTACCTGCTCTGCAGCAGAAGCAGCCGTACAGTCGCTTGCTTCTGAATTAAACACAACTCTTAATGATGTAGCATTATCAACAAGGGACACTTGATTGACTGATCTAGGTATGATATATGTGCTTGGCGTCTAAATTAAATATTAAGTGAAATACTTAGCTCTAATTAGAAATCGTAACCTAGCGATGAAAACTTGAAGAAACAAATTGCGGGGGGAGGAGGGGACAGGCTTTAAACGCTGCGGAGAGGAAAGTAGCGGTGATGTGTACAGAGTCTGACATATTAGCAACAAGCAGCAACTTTGAAATGATTGACGTGTCATTAAAGCCACCAGGCTGATTTTAATAAATCTTCAAGAA